CTGCATAACTAGAGTTGCATCAAAAAATCATTTATGTTCATTTTTTACGACAGTCACACTTTATCCTTGCATATCATGGCTACTTCCTTAACAAAGACACTTAAAAAAGAATTTAACAAAAAAAAAGTTTCCTCGACTGGGATTCGAACTCAAGACCTCTCACTCTCTAAGCGAGCGCGTTACCACTATACCACGGAGAAGTTATACACACACAGACTGAATAACATCAAGTCATTCTAACTTTAGAACTTCTATTGCATTTCGGGTTTGTAATCCTTATTAATTTCGAGGTATTTTGTTCAGGATAAACCTGTTGTTTAAAATTGAAGTAAATATTTTAGCGAAAATCTTCTCGCCCAAACAGTCCGACATGTAGAATCTATATATTCCACTACTCGGTTTGTGTAGTATTCGGTAATCCACATCGCTAAAAATAATATTATCATTGATAAAATCATATTCATCCGCGTAATTTGTGATTGTGCATTTATTGACAATTCTATAAGCCAATGCCATTGTTTAACTTTGAATGCGTTGTAATTTGTTGGATACTTGTAACAAAATAAAATATTTCTTTCTTTTAAATCGCTAGTTTTTAGCTGTTTTGAGAACTACTTGTTGTTAGGTTTGTCGTAAACTTCTGTGTCAGAGATTGAATGTCCGCTTTGTATTTACTTATTTTCGATCAGAAAATACAATAAAACAATATTAGAAATCTTCGACCATTCGGGAATCACTTTGCTTGAAAATTAACGCGCCTGTCTTTGACCATCTTTACGCAGTGATCTCCCCTGAATTTTTCGGCGTTAGTGTACATACAAAAGGGAAGTAACCGCTTCAAAAAAGTGGACTACTTTCGGCATTTGCAATTAACGACATTAGACTCTGAAATTTCGCTACCATTATTTGTTTGGTCTGACGACCCAAACAAATAAAAACAGAAACTTAAACAAATGTTTTCTGAATTGGAGAAAGCTACAGCTTGGATATTTGACATGAAATGTTGTTTGGTGGACCTGTATCAAGATTGTTTTGAATTAAACCCTTGGGTCAAAATTTTGCCTTGCCCAAGGGGACAGTGACCTACTTTCTTGTCCTTTGATGTACAGCTATGAAATTTGAACCATGTGCACAGATTAAGATGTAAAGTGAACTTTGATATCAGCTGACCTTGATTTTGACAAAGTGTCTTACTCTTGTTGTCCTTCAGGCTTTGATGTAGTCATGAAATTTAGGCTTTGTGAACTATGACCATCACCACCAAATTCACTAGACACAACTGCATTGATATATTCCTACTCTGATCTTTATTTGAATAACAATAGATTTAACCGCTAATCTGATAATAAGAATAAGATAGGTCAGGGATCTATGCATTATGTCAATCTTCAATTGTATAGAAACAAAAAAAATCTGTTTGTATTAATCTGTAAAAAATCTGTATTAATGCGTGGTGCAGCATTTTTCACAAAACACAAACATTTTTAAAAATCGATAATTTTGACTTATTAATTAAGTGTCAAGAAATTATGAAAATTCACCCAAAACTTATGCAGAATCAGTTATCTATGTCTAACATTATGCTGTTGTTATAAAGTGGAAATATTTCACAGCAATTAAATAACATAAAAAATATGGTCTGGAAAAAAATCATGCAATGGGTTTTTATAAACAAGAAAGTGACCAGAACATGTTTTTAAAGTCATTTTGAAGTCATTTAAACAGGTATGAAAGTGAATGACAAACAAGTTATTATGGTAGTTATAGATATCGATGTATTGTTGATATTTGTCATCCGATATGGATATATTGTTGGTATATTTTGCACTGAATCAATGACAGCTCTACTTTGTAGGGCCACTCCCATTGGCATGAGTCAAACAAGGGCAGCTGGTCCTGAGCTAAAGTTCTGTTGTTTTTTTTGCCATCCCAAGTCTTCAAATGTCCTGCCGATGCCTTGTGCCTTCTCAGCGCTGTGCATGCTCTGAGAAGAAGTTAACAAATAAATAAGAATCTGTCAATGGATGAGTAAAAAACTTTAAAAGAATGCAGATAGGTACCTGTCCAACAATTCCTAGTCACAATATATCTGCTGCAAGAGCGACTGATTTTACAAACTGATATTACACAGATATCAGTCTTTATAAAGGGCAACCATCATACACATAATAAAAAGCCATTAAATTTTGTTGCTCCTATATACCCGTGCCTATTATTTTTGAAAAAGTTAGAATACTGCTGGAAAATACCATAAGTTAACAGTGTTACTTCTACTTTTACTTCTACTTTTAACACAGAGCTATATTTAAATGTAGAGGAAGCTATGATGTCATACACTAAATATCTGTACCAAGGATTTATTATCACATTTTTGTGAGATTTTCAGAGACCATGTTTGACACGAGAAATTTTACAGATACATGTATACATGATATCAAAAATTGTTATGTTAATCAAAAAAGAAGTTGCAAAAATGTATAAAAAAATAATAAAGATTAAGAAGATGTAAATTATTCTCTGTAATGGATGAAAATTTATACAAATTTGGTTATAATGAGAGTCAACTTCACAAATATTTTAAAAATTATGATGCTTTGGTAAAGAATGATTAAAAAAATATGACGTCATTTATGAAATTGTGACCTTTTTTAGCTGTGTATCTCAGATGAGGAATTCAGGGCCATCATTGGCCCTCTAATAAGGAGTTATGCCTCTTTTTAACTTAATTATCCCCCGCCGATGAAATCGGGAGGGGGATATTGTTTTGGCGTTGTCCGTCCATCCTTCCTTCCGTCTGTCCGTACGACCTCAAGTGACGTTATTGGGTGAATATCCATGTTCATTCCGTACAGACTGTACTTGTGGGGAAAAGGTTGCTTATGGGGTACAAATACGTTGCTTATGGGGTTTTAGAGATCAAAGAAAAAAAAACATAATGTCAACTCAGTAGGAACATCTATCCGAATTTCGTTTCCCCCGCTAGTTCTCTGCAACTACTAACTAGAATTCAATGAAAATTTATGGGAATCATCAATATCAAGAGGAGATGTGTATATCGTCGACTTGTTCCAGTCAGACTTTTTAACTCAGAGTTATGGCCCTTGATAAGTTATGCAGTAAAGAGCAATAATCATTTCCGCGCTTCTTCTCTGCAACTACTGGCTGGAATTCAACAAAACTTTATGGGAACCTTCAATACCAAGAGGAGATGTGGTATTACTATGGCTATATAAATACAGGTTTAGGCTGCCATTTGTGCTCAATAATTATGTCAGTGTGTCGGGATAAACCAAATTTTTCTAATGATGGCTACTGGGTGTGGCTTTGTTATTTTGCAAGAAGCAAATCCCCGGTGGGCCCCTACCAAGTTTGTTGAAAGCATGGCCCTTAAATTGGCCCTTAAATTGGCCTCACCCCAGGGTTCTGTAGGTCAAACTAATAAACCTTTTTTAGCTAGACTTTTTTAAAAAAAAAGTAAAGGTATTGTTTTAGTCCTTGCAGCGTTACTGTTGATGTCCGCAAACTTGTACCTTGATCATAACTTTTTAAATTTTGGTGTATTTATATTCTTGACCGTCAAATGATTGAATTTTGATTATATTTTCTTAACATTGTTATTTATTTATGGAAAGGATTCATACTTTGACAAAACTAGTGTGACTTGACAGCCCTTAATAAATTATAGAAATGAAAATATAACTTTTTTCCCTAAGATTTGTTTAAACCGTTTATTTGTTTGCTGTTAAAAAAAGTAAAAAGTCGAGCGTTGCCCGCCCAGAGGTAGATCTTGTTACTTTTGATAACTTAATTTAGCTAAAAATATCTTCATTATATAGGGACATAAATTATTTACATTCTTATGTTGTCCAGATTAAGATAGATCATCACTTCCTTCTGGCCTCATCAAGCAAACTTCCTGCTGGCCTCACCCAGCAACCTCATCATTTGATATGCTGAAATTTGACCTTGAACCTTATTTAACCATTGTCATTAATGTCATACTTTATTATTGATTAAGCCTTAAGGTATGACTTGTATATTTGGAAATGAAGTTCATATAAACACCAGCTACTAGTTAAATTTCCAAGCCTGTTAAATTTTATCATGTGTTAATGCAATGCATAATACAAATTATGTATATTGTAACATTCTAAGATTATTATAAATTTGTTAAATCATTTAAATAAAATTAAAGTTCGTTGTTTGCGAGTTCATTGAACTTCCATATTAAAGTACACAAAAGCCACAGATAATCACACAGCTTGTCTGTGTTTAGACACAATTTTGCATGGTCATTTGGACTTAATTTCATCTTGGACAAAATTTGATTGTTTGGACTTAATTTCATATTGAGTAAAATTTGGTTAATAAGCGGTTGACCTGAACCATGAAATCCATGAAAATTAATTCACACAAATAATAATGATGTATTATTTCACATAATGTTTACCTCAAATTTAATTAGACATTGATCATTGTGAAGTGATATACCGTAAAATTCCTAATAAATGCCCTAATAACACTTTTTAATGTTATTACCAACACTTGCTAACACTAAATGTATTTACAGTGATTTTTGGATTTAGGAAAAACTGTATTGTAATAATAGCCCCCCTTTTGGAAAATGTTTAGCCCCCGGGGGCGTTTAATAGGAATTTTACGGTATATTTTGTGCGAAGGTGGCATTGCAATTAACGAAAGCAGTTTTGTTTCTTTACATCCATGTATGCATACTAGATAATATGGATATTGAGGCAAATAAATAACTAGATTATGTAGATGAAAAAAAGTAGAAATTTAGAGAAATTTTACCATGAAAAAAAAAGAAAAGAAAATACCAAAATACAAAGAAATAAAGATGATATGGCGGTTGGTATAACATTCAAGTAGGATTTCTTACAAACATTTAAAAAAAACTTCTTTTTAATTGTTTATTTAGTTTAAACTTACAAATAAAAAGAAACATGACAATAATACAATGTACTTTATAAACATTTCAGATCGTGACCTAAGATTTGTATAATTATAGTGAAAGGAATCAAACATACATGTACATATAAGAAGGATGATGTCAGCAGAATATTTGATATCACTTCCTGTTCTTCTTGTCTCCATAGTAATCCTGGTTGCAGTGGTGATTGTTCTGTTACAGTGCGTTTGTGGGAAAAGGTAAGTTTTTTATGCCCCCATCATATAGAAATTCAGTTGTCCATATGGTTAATCTATTTCAGCATGTTCAACTGAAGTACTAGTCTGCTGGATCATAATTCCTTTTGCCAGATGCTATAGAAAGCCGGTACTTTAGCATGGATTTTGACTGAATTATAGCGTTTTGTGATCTTGTTTAAGTTTTGCATGTAACATTAATCTTTGAAAGTACTGAAGGTATTCATTTGAATGTAAATACATGACTTTGTGACCATAAATTAAGTTCACTACCCAAGGTTCAGAAAGCTTGGCATTGATTTTGATGCAGATTTGAACTTTGATATAAGTTGACCTTGGAATGTTTACAGTCTAGTGAGGCCCTCTTGTAGTGAATGTTGGGAATTAGTTAACATTATTTCAGGAGACAGCTGCATTGTTCTTGTTGTTTTAAGTCTCACAGATGACACAGTAATGGTCATATGGTACCTGGTGGAGGAAGACACTCTGATGTGTATTTAATGAGCGACCACCAACTTTAAGCTAACTGGATAGTTACCACACAATTCTAGAACTTTTGCCCCTTTACATCTACAGTCAACGATCTTTATATCGACATCGCTTTTCTCGATATTTCATATATTTCATTATCTTGATGAAATTTTGAAAGTCCCGATTTTCTTCCTTCTTTCTCTTTATTGGAAATATTTGTTTATCTTGATATTTTTATCTCGATACTTTCAGTATCTTGAAGTAAAATTTCAGGCCCAACAGTCATTTTCACGCTATTATCCTTTGTTTATCTCGACTGATAATTTTTCGTCTCTCCTGGACAGATGTGTGGGAAACACAAACCAGACAATTATCGCTTAATAGCATGTGTCATAATGATGATTATGTTTGTAACAAGTCCAGCTGTTTTTAGTCCCCTACCGGTTTACCGGAGGGGACTTTAGGTTTACCCTCCGTCCGTCTGTCTGTCTGTCCGCACTCACAGGAGAGTAATTATGTGGCTAGAGGGACAATAGGTTCTCTTTGATGTCATTCATTCCGTAATGCTTTTATGTGGCTATTTTTCTTTTGCGTGGCTAAATGAACAATAGAGAGAACAATAGAGTAGCCACATAATTACTGTCCTGTGAGAACGTCCGTCCGTCCGTCCATCTGTCCGTCCGTCAGTCCGTCCACAAAACTGGATCCCGCGATAACGCAAAAAGTACTGAAAATATTTTTATGAAACTTGATATATGGATAGATGGCAGTATGGAGATTATGCACGTCTTTTTCTTTTCTTCCTATGTTGAAATTTCTGGTTGCTATGGCAACAAATAGACTGAAAATATGGCAAATTTTACAAATAACCTGGATCCCGCGATAACGCAAAAAGTACAGAAAATATTTTAAGCAGTATGGAGATTATGCACGTCTTTTTCTTTTCTTCCTATGTTGAAATTTCTGGTTGCTATGGCATCAAATAGACTGAAAATATGGCAAATTTTACAAATAACCTGGATCCCGCGATAACGCAAAAAGTACAGAAAATATTTTTATGAAACTTGACATATGGATAGATGGCAGTATGGAGATTATGCACGTCTTTTTCTTTTTTTCCTATGCTGAAAATTCTGGTTGCTATGGCAACAAATAGACTGAAAATATGGCAAATTTTACACATAACCTGGATCCAGTGATAAAGCAAAAATTACTGAAAATACTTTTATGAAACTTGACATATGGGTAGATGGCAGTCTGGAAATTATGCTCATCCTTTTCTTATCTTCCTTTGTTGAAAATTTTGGTTGCTATGGCATCAAATAGACTGAATTTCAAGATTTCTGATTCTAGTTTTTAAGTTTTTTCACTATAAGTTCTTTATTTCTAAAGGTATTTTCTTCAAACTTTAAATATAAGTTGCTAGTCATCAACCACATCATATGTGACAAGGTTTACAACTCTAGCACAAAATTTATCAGAATTACCTCCCTGGAACTTAAAATTTTCATGAAAAAAATATTGTTTTTTTAATAACTTCTTTTTTTCTGAATGTATCTACTTCAAACTTCAAATATATGTTTCTTATTATCACTCAACATTTGTGAGAAAGGTTAATACTCTAGCAAGACTTTTTCCAGAACTATGCCCCTTTTGAACTTTTTTTTCGAGAAATTGGTAATTTTTACTCCAAATTCTTCAACCATTATAGGATTTTCTTCAAACTCCTTCAGTGTCCTTTAGTCTGTCTGTCTGTCTGTACATAAAAACTGTTTCTTGTGATCACTTTTAAAGAATTTTTTCAACAAATTTACTTAAAATAGAAACATAAGTGAATGGCCAATGGCCCTTCAGAATGTTGCTGGGGTTCTAACCGGTAGGGGACTTATGGATTGCTTGCAATACTATGATAATTGCTTGTTATAAAAGTTTATCTAATTAACGTGTTGATTGACTTATGTCTGAAATGAGTGAATCTTCCGTTATTTATAAAATATTTGAAAACTATTAAACTCATTATGACTTTAGATGCAAATGAAATAGTGAAAGTATAGAAACATTATCGTTGCAATATTGTTTCGAAACATTGGAAAAAAAATATCAATCAGCAGTCGAACAATCTCAAAAAGGGAAGATAACCAACCCAGGAGGATATCTAGCTCGACCAAGCTGAAAACGTCTTCACTATAGTGGTGTATTACTGAGTAAACCTCACTATGTGTTTTTATCACAGACTCCTGTATTTCCGCTGGTAACCATCCGCTAATTCACCTTTGTTAAATATTGACTTTAGGATATTAGGCTCAAGAAAACAAGGCATGGAGGTATCATACTTAAGGAGGTATGCACATACATTTGTAAAAATCAGTTACTGCCTTGTTCAAACCCATATACGTTTATCTCGACATTTCGTTATCACAATATTTTTTGAACGGTCCTGATGACTTTGAGATAACAAGAGTGTACTGTTTATATTTCAGGAAATAACTTATTAAAGAAAAATAATTCATATATATTTCAGGAAAGATAACTCTGAACCAAAGCTGACACAAGCACAGTCTAAACATGCTTCTACATATCTGGATGCTGACACTTTGTGCAAGGTCTGCCTTTATTATTTGTAGGGATGGGAATGAATATATGACTAATAAAAAATATGCCAAATATTCCGATTTGAATCTTCAATATTTAAATTCCTTTTTTTGGCCCGACTATACAAAGAATATGGAGAGCTGACCTTTTCACCCCGGCGTCTGTGATAAGTGTCATAACTCTAGAAGCAATATTTTCAGAATTATCTCCCCTTGAATTTTCCTTGAAAAATATTATTTTTATGCCCCCGGGCATATAGTAATTGAACTGTCTGTCCGTCCGTCTGTCCGTACGAGGTTAACCTAGAACGGCAAGTTGGATTTTTCTTAAGTTCTACCTGTACCAATGGCTTCATAATTTACACACTTACTAATCCATACAAATATGATCTGGGCAAGTTACATAACTATGGCTTCCATTTGCACCAAGTTATGGCCCTTTTCAGCACTTAGCAAATGAATAATGGTTAACCTAAACCGGCAAGTTGGAAATATCTTATGTTCTATCTGAACTAATGGCTTAATAATTTTCACACTTACTTATCAATACAATGTACATGATATTGCCAAGTTATATAAATGTGCCATCCATTTTCCCAGTAATTTCCCTTTTTATCACTTTGAAAATAGTATGGTTAACCTATTCCGCCAAGTTGGATTTATCAAAAAAATTTACCTAATCACTTAATTTATTTTATGATATCTTTCATATTTGGTAGGTGGATACCTTTAACGGTCCTCTAATTTTGTGGCGTTAGGCGTCTCTAGGTCAAGGTCACTTGTGTAAAAAAATAAATCTAAACATTTCTGCTCATACAGCCTTTATTTTTAAGTTAATGTCTTTCATGTTTATAATAGTCATACCAAGGGAGGTCCTCTTCCTTTTCCTTTAGTAAGGGGTCATTTGGGTCAAGGTCACCAATGTCAAAAACATATTTTTTTACACTTTTACAGATGTATTAACCTTATTCTATCGACAGATGTTTTGTATATTTTGTAGGAACATAAAATTGAGGTATTCTCATTGTAGGGGTCAGTTGGGTCAAGGTCACCAGTGCTAAAAATAGATTTTTACACTTTTCTCATACACCCTTATTTATTGACAGATTTGTATTATATTTGGTAGGAAAATAAGTTGCATGATATTCTTCCTTTGGATGGAGTTAGGGGTCAGTTGGGTCAAGGTCTTCCATACAAATTAGCTACTTCACTCACTAAAGTTAAATTATTGACAACAGTGAGCGCGGGGGCATTTGTGTTTATCAAACACAGATTCTTGTTTTTGTGCCCCCACTTTAGTGGCGGGCATTTAGATTTACCCTTGTCCTTCCGTCCGTCCGTTCTCTTTTGTGTCGCATGTAACTCAAAAAGTATTTGACCTAGAGTCATGAAACTTTACAGGAATGTTGATCAGCATGTGTAGTTGTGCACCTGGGTATTTTCGTCTGGATATTTTTAGTATTTTTAGAGTTATTGCCCTTGACGTAGTAAAATTTTGCAATTTTCAAATTGTGTCGCATGTAACTCAAAAAGTATTTGACCTAGAGTCGTGAAACTTTACAGGAATGTTGATCAGCATGTGTAGTTGTGCACCTGGGTATTTTCGTCTTGATATGTTAAGTATTTTTAGAGTTATTGCCCTTGACATAATAAAATTTTGCAATTTTCAACTTGTGTCGCATGTAACTCAAAAAGTATTTGACTTAGAGTCATGAAACTTTACAGGAATGTTGATCAGCATGTGTAGTTGTGCACCTGGGTATTTTCGTCTGGATATTTTTAGTATTTTTAGAGTTATTGCCCTTGATGTATTAAAATTTTGCAATTTTCAACTTGTGTCGCATGTAACTCAAAAAGTATTTGACTCGAGTTAGAATCAACCAACTTTACAGGAATAATGATCAACATCACTAAATTACAGGAATAATGATTCACATCACTGTGAAGCTATGCACCTGGGACTTTGCATGTGGATTTTTAGCTCACCTTGCACAAAGTGCAGGTGAGCTGTCAAATGCGTCTGTCGTCCGGTGTCCGTCCACATTTTATTCAAACAACATCTTCTACAATACCACTTGGCCAATATTAATGAAACTTGGCAGAAATACTCATTGTATGAAGCTCTATCAAGATTGTTCAAAGAATGCCATTCCATGCTAAACTCCGGTTGCTATGGCAACTAAAAGAAAAAACTTAAAAGTTCTTATACTTCAAAATGGAAAGGGCTAGAGCTTAGATATTTCTCACAAGGCATTAGCTTGTTAGTTCCTACAAAGTATATTCAAATTATGGGCTAAAGCTGAAAATTGGTCTCTATTTTGGGAGTTAAAGGGTTTTTTTTATTGCAAGGTTATATAGACTTTCTTTGTATGGATAAATTGAGACAGTGTATCTTGTAATTTTTGTCTCAACAGACAGTGTTATGAAGATTTTTCTTTTAAAGCATAAGAAGGATGAAAAGTTTGTTGAATGTGAATGTTAATTCAAAACAGAGTCGATCAGAATAGCACAAATTTGAGAGCTACAGTGAAGTTGATTTCCCCATTCAATAATGGATTTTTCCATTAATTTCGTAATATCATCAGAAAGGAAGACTGTGTCATTTCGGAAATACAATTGTAAAATTTTTCGGTTCTTGACAATGACTGGCACAATTTTTTGTGTATGAAATTGCACAAAGAAACGAAAGTGAACAAAAAATGTTGTTGTTTTTTTCAAAAAAAAAATAGTTGATTAAGATAAAAGTTATAATGCTAATCTCAGTATAGCGCTCATAGACCTTGGCTCCCCCCCCCCCCCAAAAAAATTCATGTAGTTCTAGATTTCTAGGGCGCCATATCCGCTATAATGCTTCTTCAATTTGACATTCAAGTACAATAAACAATTGTAATTAGGACATTTACTGGCGCCAAAGGTGTGAAAAATAGGCACAGGTTAGCGTTTATCCGCTCTTTTGTTGTTTTACCTGTCCACCATTTAGGCATCAAATTGTTTCCAAAATCTCAAATTCATATCATAACTGTGACATGGGCAACCGGTGGTGAGTATAAATAAACTAAAATTCACACACATATCTGTGACATGCAAACCTTGCTGAATTAAATAACCCACACAAGCCCAAAATCAATTTAAAATCCTGCACTGTATATAGAACGGCCGAGACAGGAAGTAAATGGCGTTTGATTAACTAGGGGACACAACTAAAGCTGGACTGTAATGGCCAACTGTTTACACTACATTCATGATTTATGTTTTTCTTTCGAAAGTTTTTTGTTTCTTTTAAATATAATTAGTATTATTTGTGAATATAATATATGTTTACATCATTGAATTGTTTTAGAAAAAGATAATGTTGATATTCATTGAACAGTAAGTAAAAATCGTCAGCGTTATGTATAGTCGGTGGGTGGGGTAATGCGGTAATTTTGCAATGAGCATTCTAATGAGAGCCTCGTTAGAACGCGGTGTTGAGACATAATCACATTGGACCCCAACATGAGTATTATAATGAGGCTGTAATGTATTAGTTTGTAAGTCATACTAGATATAAGTTTGTAAGTTATACAAGATTTAAGTTTGTTAGTCATACAAAATATAAGTTTGTAAGTCATACAAGATATAAGTTTGTAAGTCATACAAGATATAAGTTTGTAAGTCATACAAGATAGTAGTCATACCAACATTGCCAACAATTTGACAGAAGACATAATTTTATGATAATGCCATTTAATCATTTCACTAACTGAATGAGTAAAGTTGTGTGCAAAGTTCTTGCAAGGCAAGTCAGGCTTGAAGATATTTGTGACGTCCTAACCTAACATGACAACAGAATTTTTTTGTATTCACTTGTATTTATAGTATATAAAATATAATTGATGCTAAACTCTATCACTCAAATCATTCAAAATTTTAGTTTGCCATCTACTTTAATAATTGATTTGTAAGTACTTAATTGTAACTTCCTCATGTTTTGTTTTTTTTTCATTCAGAAATGGCCCTCTTGTTTAATACCTCATTAGTGTGAGTGTAATAATCACTAAAATTTCCTTCTATTTCAGATGTCAGAACAAACAGATATAAGTGGTGGAGGTGGGCATGTTGATGTAGAAACAAGTGTAACTCCACTCAACATATCTATCGGGTCACATAATGGCACCTTGCACAGTCGAGGCAACTCAGTTGATCTCAAGTAAATATATCCTTATTCTGTTTTACTAAAATCAAATGCCACCTTGTGCATAATATTTGCTATAATTCCTTGATAACTTCTCTTTTTATTCCCTTGAGCATATGGTCTATCTGCCACATTTATGAGAGGTAACTAATGTGGTGATATGGACAATAGTTAACTGTAGTCTGTACTTTTTATTTTGGCGAATATTGTTATGCACCTGGTTGTCCGTCTATCAGTCTGTTAGCAGGTTTTCTTGTCCGGTCTGTATCTTTTGAACCGGTGGAAGGAATTGAAACTAGTTGGCAGAAATGTTAACCATAATGAGACAATGTACAGAGCGCAGGTTTGATCTTTCAGAGGTCAAGGTCACAGTCATTTTGTTTAAGTTTCAAATTTTAGTGTCTGCTCTGTATCTTTTGAACTGAAAGAAAGAAATTAAAGTTGAACTGAAAGAAAGAAATTAAAGTTTTTTGTCAGAAATATATCTTACATTGGGACTGTGTGCAAAAAACACAAGTTCTGACTTTCTATGATTAAAGATGGCCTGCCCAGGGCTTTAAATGATTTATATAGACTTATATAGGAGATTTTGTGTCTGGTCCTTATCTTTTGAACTGGTGGAAGGAAATTGAAACTACTTGGCAGAAGTGTAAACTATAATGAAGATGTGCAGAGCACAAGTTTGACCTTTCTCAGGTTAAAGTCAAGGTCACACTTACTCATTTTGTAGCAATATCAAAATTTTGTGTCAGCTTTGTAACTTTTGAACCGATGGAAAGAAATGAAAACTTTTTGGCAGGATTATAACTTATATTAAGACTCACGGTGTGCAGAACACAACTTTGGACTTCCTAAGATCAACATTGGCCCAGCTACAGGATTAATTCATTATATAGACTTACATAGGAGTTTTTAATGTGTCCGGTCTGTATCTTTTGAACCTGTGGAAAGAAATTGAAACTATTTGGCAGAAATGTTAACCATAATGAGACAATATGCAGAGTGCAGGTTTGACTTTCCTCAAAACAAGGTCACAGTCATTTTGTATCAATTTCAAAATTTTGTGTTTGCTCTGTTTCTTTTAAATCAATAGCATGAAATTAAATGTATTTGGCAGAAATATTTATATTACTGAGATGATTTGCAGAGCGCAGTTTTGGGTACCTCAGGTCAAGGTCACACTGACTCATTCAAAATCCTTATATAATTGTTGCCTGTTTTCCTATGGTTTCGTGCACTTACAGTTTGATGACTGTCTATACATATGAAACACTAACAGTGGGGGAGTGTTGTACCTCATATAGTTGAGAAAATATGTGCTCTCAACTTCTTTACAGTTGGTTTGATGTTTGTACGACTAATTGTCATAGTTTATGACCTCTATACAATGCTATGTAAATAGTCTGACTCAACTGAACGTTTCCTATGGTTTCGTGCATTCTCATAGGTTGACCAGAATGAGGCTTAAATGAGACCCTGTCTGACATGGGCACAAGTGGAAATAGTGAAGTTTAGGTCCATCTAGTATAGAGTAATGAAAGAGTTGAAAAGAAAGAAGGAAAATAACAATAAACACAGAACTTTTATAATATAACTATTATATAAGAACACAACAATGTTAAGAAGAACCAAAAAGAGCTAACACCTAAGTGACCTATATAAAAAGTTAATTTGGCAGTGTTTCAGTCACGTGACCAAACAGAAAATGGAAGAACGCAAACTTCTAATTTTACTTGAATAGCATTCGGATGTGTGCGGAGCGTGCAGTCCTTGGAGATTGCGTCATACTTAAGTGCACGAAACCATAGGAAGGGTGCAATAACTGGGTAGGTACCCCCAAGGTCAAGGTCACACTTAAAGGCCAAGTGTTTAAAAGGCTACATTAATTTGTATCCACTCCATAACTTCTAAACTGCTGAAAAAAATTGAAATAACTTTGCACAAGTGATCACCATTATGAGATGATGTGCAGAGCGCAATAATTGATTGCTACCAAGGTCAAGGTGACACTTAAAGGTCAAATGTTAAAAGTCTAAATTTTGTGTCCGCTCCATAACATTTAAACCGCTGCAATGTTTTTAAGATAACTTGGCAGAAATTATCACCATTATGACACCATGTGCAGAGCACAACAATCAATCACTACCCTCAAGGTCAGGGTCACACTAACAGGGGGGTGGATCCCCATATGGATCTCAAAATTGAGCATCTGTAAAAAGAATATGTGTATTCCCGGAATAAAAGAATATGCTTTTCTAATGCCAGCATAAGCTAGTAAGCCCTGCAATTGAAATGATTAAAGACACAAATGTTAAGTTTCAGTCTGTGGTGAGATCCGTAAAATATTTGTATTTTGAGTCCATTTAGTTCTCTTCATATGCATTGCATGTTTTGGCCACACCAGAACCTACGACAGAAAGGATATCACGATAAAGACTGCTTAGAATTTCAATACAAAAATGGGTAATAAAGAGGAGAGTCAGGAGGGTAGAATCAAATTTCGATTTTCTTAAAAAAGGGTTTAAATTTTATATAACTGTTTAAAAAGTTGAAAACTAACCCTGCGATTGACCTGATTTCACTGTCTTATCTGGTGCTATGCTTCACATCTAGTGCAGCAGAAATTCACTAAAACTTTTTACTGATGCTCATTTTTGAGATCCATATGGGGTTCCAACCCCGTGTCAAAGGTTCAATGTAAAATCATCTATTTTTCATGCCCTGCTCTATAACTTATTGGCAATTCAAAGGTTTATCAATTAATTATCACAAATGATCCCCACCATGACACAATCTGCAGAGCACAACATCACGGTTGCTACCCTCAAGTAAATATTCAAGTTGCTACCCCTAAGGTCAAGGTTATATGTTCTCTATAACTGTTTGACTTTATGGAAGGTCAAGAAGTACATATCCTCTGTGGAAGGGGATTTAGCAGTCCTTCAGACTGCCTTGTTTATCATTCACTTGAAGTAAATTATAAAAATTTACAACGACAACGTTTTATTGCATTATAAGGCCTCCAGCTTAAATTACAATCAAAATGGCATCAACTTTAGTTATAGAGTAGCGTTTTTATTCATTTTTAGCTCGACTATTCGAAAATATGAGAGCTATTGTAGTCGCCCCGGCGTCGGCGTCAGCGTCCGCGTCGGCGTCTGCGTTGGTAAAAGTTTTTTGTAAAGTCAAATATCTCAATTATTACTTGAGATATTCAATGAAACTTACAATACTTATTTATAGTAACAAGGTACATCAGATTGACAAGTTGGATAACTCTGCCTACAATATTGACAGAATTATGCCCCTTTTTAACTTAGAAATTTTGGTTAAAGTTTTTTGTAAAGTCAAATATCTCAATTATTGCTTGACATATTCAATTGAAACTTACAATACTTATTTATAGTAACAAGGTACATCAGATTGACAAGTTGGATAACTCTGCCTACAATATTGACAGAATTATGCCCCTTTTTAACTTAGAAATTTTGGTTAAAGTTTTTTTGTAAAGTCAAATATCTCAATTATTGCTTGAGATATTCAATTGAAATTTAAAATACTTTTTTATAGTAACAAAGTACATCAGTTTGCAAAATTGCATAACTCTGCCTGCGATATTTGCAGAATTATTTGCCCCTTTGAAACTTAAAAATTTTGGTGAAAGGTTAAAGGTCTTCAAAGATATTTACTTGAAACTTTACACATGCACTTAGGGTCATAATTGGAGGGTCATAATTGTATGTCACTGACCAAGTTCCATAACTCTATCTTGCATTAAGGCTGATTCATATCCCCTTTTCTACTTAGTCTCTTGGTTAATGTTTACATGCAAGTTTTACATATCTCAATAACTATTTAAGATATTTATTTAAAACTTCACATATGCATTTAGGGTCATAATTGTAGGTCACTGACAAAAATCCATAATTCTATCTTGCATTTAGACTGATTTTTCTCCCCTTTTTCAACTTAGAAATTCATGGTAAAGTTTTGCTTGTTAGCTGTTATCTCCATAACTACTGAAGAGTTTGTGCCTTTTTTGGGACAATTTTATGCATTCATAATAATAAAGCAGTGATTTACTTGATAAAACATCTTAATAACAAGCCTTTGTACCTTTTCTGTCAAATTTATGTATTCATAGGTCATTAGTATTATTATACTCAATAAAACACCCTTGTGACATTACCTTCTGAATAGTCAAGCCAATACTGTATAATTAGACTCCCTCTAAGGCCTATAACATGAATTTATAAAAAAAATTAGCCCTTTTGTGAACTTAAAAAATTTAACATTATCAAGGCTCTTTTACTATCAAGCAATTAGAATAGTCGAGCGCGCTGTCCTACCGACAGCTCTTGATAGCTCACCTGACAACGAAGTGGTCAAGGTGAGGTATAGTGATGGGGCTTTGTCCGTCGTTGTGCGTAGTGCGTCGTGCGTCGTCAACAATTGGGTTGTTAACAGTCTAGCAGTCACAGTTTTGATTGGATCATTGTCAAACTTTGTCAGAATGTTTGTCTCAATGAAATACAGATCGAGTTCAAAGATGGGTTATCTCGAGTCAAAAACTAGGTCACAGGAGCTAAAAATAGAAAAACCTTGTTAACACTCTAGTGGCTGCAGTTTTGATCCAAATATTCTGAAATTTTGTCAGGAAGGTTGTTGTGATGATTTCTAGGTCAAGTTTGAAGATGGATCATCTCCGGTCAAAAACTAGGTCACAGGAGCTAAAAATAGAAAAACCTTGTTAGTAGCTGCAGTTTTGATCCAAATCTTCTAGAAATTTGTCAGTAAGGTTGTTTTGATGATTTCTAGGTCAAGTTCGAAGATGGGTCATCTCCGGTCAAAAACTAGGTCACAGGAGCTAAAAATAGAAAAACCTTGTTAACACTCTAGTAGCTGCAGTTTTCATCCAAATATTCTGGTAATTTGTCAGGAAAGTTGTTTTGATAATTTCTAGGTCAAGTTCGAAGATGGGTTATCTCCGGTCAAAAACTAGGTCACAGGAGCTA